ATATATAATGCAATTTAAAATTACAGTCTTTAAAATTAATTCAATTATTTGTCTAAATTCCTTTCAAAAATTTATATCAAATTAAATTGTTACCAATTCATTCAACCAATTATAGATATGTGTAAAAACAATTTATAAGCAATTTTATATTTAAAAGCCAATTCTATTGCTATATAGTATAGTAAAACCTGTGTAATACAGAATTGCAACATTCGAACGTTTTTCCACTTAGACAGATTTCCATTTATTCAAGTTCTGTTTTAGATTTTACTGTGTTTAAGTTTGTGGAAAATATACTAAATTGCCAAACAATTGCCTAAATATTGGGCTATTATATGGCTACTTAAATGATTAGAATAAAGTAATTTGTCATTATTATGACAAATTACTTTATTCTAATCATTTAAGTAGCCATATAATAGCCCGATATTTAGGCGATCGTTTGGCAATTTAGTATATATACTATTCGGGCTTTGTGTTGTTGTTATTTTGTGGAAAATTTTTTAAGATGTGCTAACTATTCTTTATGAATATTTTTTATTGTTCCAAGAATATATTTCTAATATATGTCTTTTTCACTTTTGGTTTCATTACTATTACGTTATTAGAATGCAACATAATTACTTAAATAATATAAATAAAACAATACAAACTAACAGAATTTTGTTGTTTTATTGAAGCAGAGCATTAGCAAAGTTTCTTCTATGAGATTTACAGAATCGTGTTCATTCTCAAAATCCTTTTGATAGATTTTGATTAAACTTTGCCATTTTCCATTAATTGTGATGCAGAATCCAAAAATGCAATAAAAAATGGAGTCCATGATTTCATTGGGATATAAGGTTGTTTCACGAGCGTGTGTGACAAAGCAGTATCATACGAATCACGTGACTTTGTCATGTGATGTTTTACGGTCGCTAGCACATCTTGTATGGGCTTATAGAATCGAGTTTGTTCTCAAAATTTAATGGATCAAGTTTAATAAAACTTTGCCATTTTCCATTAATTGAGATGAAAAACCAGAAATGTAATGTGGGTCCATTTAAATGTAAAAAAATCCAGCAACAAATCACTTAACTTTCTCAGAAATATTTAAAATTCTGGTGGCATTATTTGTTAGATATTTATTTAAAAAAAACTGTTTACATTTTTAATTATTGTAAAATGGCAAAAAGCTTAATTTTGAGGTAAGGTTGGGTTTTATAAAAAATTGTAAATGCTAATAATGGGTAATATCATCATTAAGTCCAATCCTACTCAAGATATAACACACAACCATCCTTTATCTCTCCACCCCGTTGACCTTAAACCACCGAAATTTAATAGCATGAATTTTTCTGATATACAAACCTTCCTGAATTTTTGACAAGTTTTAATACTTTATTTCTGTGCATCTTATATTGTTTCATCTGAGAAAAAAGCCACCTTATTTGGTGCTATTTTCATTGTCATTTGGTGATTGTTGATTTATTACAGATTCTGATGAAATATAATTATATTATTTATGATTTTGCTCAGAAAAATTATAAATATTATACATACATTATTGCCATAGCATAGAATATGACAAATGAGAATATATCATTCTATTCTGTTTTTATATTACATTTTTTAGATGAAACAAAATAACTTTATTTCTATATTTTCTCTCTTTATTTTCTTATGTTTGATACTTTCTTTACATATGTTAAAATGTTTATTATAAGGAAAAAATTAATTTATTGAAGTATTTAATGAAATTTTATAATTTTTTATTTTATATCATCATATAGAATCTCTCATTTTTTGCTGAAACAAAACAATTAATTAATGAAAATATATCAAATAATATAACAATACTAATTAAATTATTATTATTATTTGTATTAACAAAAATTGACTCTTGAAAATCTGAACAATGTAATAATCTTACATTGTTCAGATTTTCAATTCCATAAAATAAAATTTTTTAGTATGGTGTTACTTTAGAGTTTTATTGAGGAAGGCCTTGCAATACTATTAAAGTGGATTTCAATTTGTACTTTTTCTGCTTTGTGTTTTGCAACTTATTGTTATTCTTCATTTATTTCTTTTGGTTCAATGGTAATCTGTTTTGGAATGGGAAGAGTTGTTAAGTTTTTGTAAGTAAGTGTGAGGGATGCAAGGGACAGTTTATTCCAACTTACCTAGCAGATTACAATTGGGATCTGAAGCTGAGACAAAGTCTTGAAAAACATTTTATTCATATATACATTTAACTCCTATATTTTTCAAGCACTTGTTTTTGGATTTAGTCTACAAAATATGCAGCAATATAAATGAACTGGGTTTAAATTGTAATAAAAAACATTCACCAAAAACCTTTGTTTCCAGTTGTAAATTTTTTATTAGCAACTAATGTTTTTGATCTTAAACAGATCTTCAGGTCATTACCAATATTTCTTTTTTATTTTTATTTTATTTCTAAATATGTTATGTATTTGTTTAAAAATTGGAACAAACCAATAAACTAATATGTTATAATATGTAACAATCTATTTTTTTCATTCTAATTCGGTTTGTGTATTCAGACCAGAAGAAGATCTGTTTAAGATCGAAAACATTAGTTGCTAATAAAAATTTACAACTGGAGATACAAAGGTTTTGGTGGATGTTTTTTATTACTGGATATGCAGTTGTTTATACCAAGACAGATTATAAAACCTGTCAATGACAATTTTTCTATATAAAAGAATTTCATATTTTTTCTGGTCAAATTAAGTTTTACATTATTTCTACTTTTTTACAATAGATATAACAAACAAATTTATTGTAATAATTTTAATAAACTCTTAACATTTCTATTATTATTTCTTAGCAGTTTTATAAACATTTTTTAAATACCATCCAAAGGTGTCAATTGATACATTGTAACATTTTAAGAAACATATCTTCTGTGTTTGGTAAGGAATTAATTTGATTCTTATGATAAAAATAATGTTTCAATAAAAATAGCATAAAGTTTATGCACTTTAATATATTTTAAATCAATAGTTTTTCTTTTTTACTTTTGTTTATATTTTTAGTGACTTTACAAGACTGTAATTATTGATATTATTCACTCAATATATTTTTGCATTTTTGAAATGAGATTTTGTTTTTTAAAAACTAAATAAATAAATTTATTTTCACTAAAATAAAATAATTATTAACTTTGATCTATTACACTCTTCATAAAGAAATTTTCTTTCACAAAAAGTAATTTATATAGTTTAATATAAAAACTATCATTAATAAAATTAATTTTTCTGATTTATTTTTGAGATTCTCTTCTGGTGTAGAGAATATTTAGCATTTGTATTAGTGATGCTTAAATAGTATAATAGATAATGCTAAACAATAACTAGATCTTCACAATTTATTGTATTATCTAAAAATGAAGAAGCAATAACTGTACAAACTAGGAGAGTTGAGTGGCTAATCTCATATAGTATAATAGGAAAATATAATAGAATATATAATGCACAAAAGCAACGAAGTTCTCATTCACTTTGTTTAAAACAGATTTGAGTAATACTTTCTATATAAATATTGAAAATACTCATTAAGTCCAATCCTACTCAAGATATAACACACAACCATCCTTTATCTCGCCACCCCGTTGACCTTAAACCACCGAAATTTAATAGCATGAATTTTTCTGATATACAAACCTTCCTGAATTTTTGACAAGTTTTAATACTTTATTTCTGTGCATCTTATATTGTTTCATCTGAGAAAAAAGCCACCTTATTTGGTGCTATTTTCATTGTCATTTGGTGATTGTTGATTTATTACAGATTCTGATGAAATATAATTATATTATTTATGATTTTGCTCAGAAAAATTATAAATATTATACATACATTATTGCCATAGCATAGAATATGACAAATGAGAATATATCATTNAAAGGTTCTCTTGTAATTTAAAAATCAAGGGTTGAACAGTGAATCAAATTTAGAAAAAGACAAAATATATATTTTAATTTAACAATAATGTAATTAATATTTATATATAAACAGATTATACAATTAAATTAATAATCTCTCTAGGGCACATGATATTTCAATTGTTAGATGATATCAGCTTTATAGTTTGGAACATTTTTACAAGTTACTCTTGAAGTAACTTCACACATTATAACAGCACACTGCCCTTGAATATAATGGTCCATGTCTGAGACCACTTTCATTTGAAAATAGTGATGGAGTTCTCACTTTCACATGTTTTTTAGTTGGCAATGATGGAACAGAGAAGATCACATTTGTAAAGAGGTATTTAACTGATAAATTTGAAAAGAAATATGTTGCTACTTTGGATGAAGTTCATCCATTGGTATTTCATACAATTCATGGTACAATTAGATTTAATACATGGGATACAGCTGGTCAGGAGAAATTTGGAGGTCTCAGAGATGATGATATATCTAGGAGCAGTGTGCTGTTATAATGTTTCATGTTACTTCAAGAATAACAACAACTTTAGATCATTGTTAACATTTCCATGTCATTTGGACACAGAAGTGTTAACAATGATTTAAAGCTGTGTTGCAATACCATATAAAATAAAACTTAGTTTGTTCAGTTCTTGTTTTTTTAAGATAATACAATATGTTTCAGAAATTATTGTTTCTACATAGAATAAAATAACTACAATTTCATTATATACTATACACATTTTATGAATTCTTTTATATTTTAAAAAGTATAAAAAATTTATCACAACAGTGTTTTTATAAATTACTATAATAAATTTTTTAAACAACAGTATAAAATACACAAACAAAATTTAAAACTTTAATAAATTCTTAAAAATATAATTACTGTATTAGATGTCCTTGGATGTTTTAAGATGAATTCCATCAAGTAGTCCATTCTCCTTTTTTCCTTTTTAAATATATTTTATTTAACATATCAGCATCCCTTAGTGTTACTTTTGTGATTGGCTTGCTTAAAAAATGAAATGCATGTCTGGTGTTTGTCTCCTCTTGCATTTGCCAGTGGCCGCCTTGCGTGGTGTAGCAATACAGAGAGGTCGGGCACGGGGTGCCTTCGCCACTGCCTTCGCAAGACACCCCTCACCACTAACAGCAGCTGCTGCGGCTACTGCCCTGCATGGTTACACCCCGTAAGTGGTGCATATGGCCATACCTGTGCACTTGTCATTATTTTTCTACTTATAATTTAATATAATTAGTAAATTTTAACTTTTAAAAATAAAATATTAATACATATTTATTTGAAAACTGATCATTTTTATTTAGATTGTATTATTTGTTTATTTTTATAATTAAAATAATTTTTGAAAGAATTTTTTTAGGAAAAATGAAATGAAAAAAATGAACAAAGATGAGAAGTTAAAAATAATAAATATTGGGTAATCCATAAATCCTTATTGGATTTAATGTTTATTATATTTATTCAATGTAAACAAATACACTTTCATTTCTAAAGTGTAGTGGCTGCCTTATATAATACTGAATTAATAATTACTGTAATGATGATCCTGAGATAATTCTTTATTGTTAAATATAGATAAGAATTCAATTCCAGATTAAAGTGAAGCTCATTGTGAAACAATTGTTAACTGACAAAGGAGAATGCACCAAACAATTAACTATGCATAGTGTGCATAGTGTATAGTTAAACAAAGTATTTATTTTTACGGAATAGATACAGATTGTTATAGATTCCAACTTAATGGCAATGAATGGTAATACAGCAGTGACAAGATTATTAATGGACAAATGACAAGAATATGTATATATTGTGACATACATAAGAAAACTGATAATGGGAACACTACAACTAATACTTACAAACTAACAAACTAAAGGAAGAGGGAAGTCAAAAAGAAAAAAGGAAAGTGATAAACAGTAAAATAAGGTTATAGGAAAGAATAAAGTATCTGGGATGTACAGAACTTTGCACACTTTTGGTGGGAGGCCATGTGGAACTTGCTTGGACTAATGGCTCATTGTGGTCTTCCTTTTTCTTTTTGTATCCACTCGATACTTGTTGTATCGTCAGTACAATACGTTCACTGATCCTTATCAAGCTAGTTCTGTCTCTCTAGTCTAGCTACTCTTGACAACACAAAGCACCATCTTCTACGTCCTTCCTCTTTGAGGTCCAGTTGAAAGAATGTACCACTCCTTCTCACTTGTGCCCTCAGGTCCTTTTTCTCTTTTTGTTTTCTGTAGTTCCACAAATCAGCTCTCACCATCCAACGGAAAAAGTAAGGATAGAAAGTTCTAAAAGTGAGAAGGGACAAAGAACAAAGGAAAATGATTAAACTATGATTAAATTAATATATACAATGACATATGGCCACAATACCAACAGTTTCATTAATATAACTAAGATAAAAGTTCTGTATAGGCCTATATTTATTAATTAAGGATATATTAAGCAAATGGAAATTTGAAAATTTCTTATAACACTATAACAAAAAAATATGTTTTTCATTCTTTGTTCCTTTTCTTCTACTTTTAAAATAGATAAGTAATAAAGATTTGATATAAAAGACAAATATGTTTGAACAGTGTTTTCATAAGAAAAAGTAAGAAGCAATCATTTATTAATAATACTTAATTAAACTGTAAAATACATTTTATACAATGAACATTTTAGGTCATAATTTCAATCTTTTTCAAATTAAACTGAACTCTGAGAAAGCAAATAAAGCTATTTATGTGTCAGATATATCAATATTTCATAAACATTTGAATCAACTTCATTATAAAGTACAGACAAAAACTTATATCTTAATATATGTATTAATTTGAGAATTTAATATGTTGTAATCCAGATAGCAAATATAAACAACAAAAACTTACACAAAACACTAAGGATCAAGGAAAGAAAATGATTAAAAATTTCCAGCATAGCAAATAATAATAAAATTATATATATAAATCTAATTGATCTAGACTAACAATTATTGCAATCAATTAAAAAACTTAAAATCATTCTCTACTTTTTCTTTTCCTAAGTCCAAATAAATTGTTTTGCTATAGAAAATATCATCTAAATTATTTATAAGCAGTCACAAAGTACTGGTACTTTGGCTCTGCTTATAATTATACTTACAGTATTACAGTTCAGAGAAGACTAACACAATGCAAGAAACATTGCATATCTATATTAATAATATCTGATTAGTTAATTTTAATTGATATCCTTTTTATTATAAACAAGATCTTCAATTTTATAATATGTAGTATTTAAAGTCAAACATAATGAAAAGACTTTGTTAGACAAATAAACAACATAATAAAAAAGTTTCTTCTTTAAATCTCAAAAATTCTATTTTGTAATACAAATTTCACATTATCTATTGTAAGACCATATTGAAGAATGGAATTTCAGTGTTCTTTTATTAAAATTCAATACAAACACACAACTCAATACAACATTAGTCAGATTTCAGATAAATAAAAATAAATGTAAAGAATATAAATATTTTAATTATTGCATGATTTTTATTTTAAATTTAAACAGATAAAACAAAGAACTTAATTTTTATTGCAATAAGTATGGAAATTGGAACTTGTATAATTGATATATAATTTTTTAAAATAGTAACTGAATGAAATTTAAGTGGTAATAATTTTATCAAAATCAGTTTTCAATTAAATATGCTATATAAATTTACAGGATGATTCAAAAATATGATGCGATTCTTTGTTGAATAATAATAGTTTTAAATCTCTTTTATTATATAAATATTATTATTATATAATACTAAATGTATTAAATTCATTGAAAAAATATAGTGATATGAGATCAAAAATCCCACATTATTAGTTCAGATATAAAACTGAAAAACTGTCTTTAAAAGTAAATTCAGCTTTTTTTTTTAAATTATTTTACATATTACTTTTGAAGCTTGAATTGTAGTAATTTACAATTAAGAATATAAAAATACAACCTAAATGATTACATAAAATTTTAAACTTACAACAATTAAATGTTATTATTTTATTTTACTAAAAATTAATGATTTTAGAGTTAATGTTGAGCACTTTGCAAGTCATCATCTGAAACAAAAATTTAGCAATGACCAAATTCAATCAGCCTTTCAAATCTTGGCTTTAATGTTGACATAATTTTTATTGAAGAATCAATGGTTATATTATTGAAAAACTTTTAAGGTAGTTTGATTTGCTGGTTTGATATAATTGTATGTATTCAGGAATAGAATGATACTGAAATTTATCAACAAAATATATACAGTGGTACCTTGGTATACGTCTGATTTAGAATACGTCCAATTCGGAATATGTCCTGTTTGAACGAAACAAATTTTGCTTGGTATACGACTTAATTCAATTATATGCACCATCTATGAACAAATAGCACTATCGGTGTACTAGACCAGACTAGACATTTGCAGTGCAACGGTTTATAACTTTGTTAAATTTCTTCTAACTTTAATTTGTATGTAAAATTTTATTATTTTTATTATATTTTATTATTTTATTTTTATTAATCATGAATTGCAAAAAGGCAAATTAAAAGCAACAGAAAACTAAAAAAATGACTAGAATCACAATGGAACTGATAAAAGAGATTGTTGAGAAATACGAAGGTGGCATGCGTATTCAAGATTTTAACTGTTGCATACCGTATTCCGAGAATGACGATATTGACAATTGCGAAAAATAAAAACATTAATTAAATCTGCTAACGTTGCGAAAGGGGTTAAATCAATCTCTAAACAGAGATCGAAATTGCTTTTGCTTTGAATAACTGAAAAACAATGTGCTGGAGACAGCGTATCAGAAGCAATTATTTGCAAGAAAGCTAAAAAAATACATGCTGATCTCATGGAAAATCAAGCAGGAACTAGCCAGAAAGCAAGGTGTTCAAAGCCAGCCATTTTTTTTATGTGAGAGCAAATTAATCATTTTTACATTAATTCTTATGGGAAAGGTTGGTTTGGTATACATCCAATTCGGTATAAGTCCAAACATTAGGAATGGATTAAGGTCGTATACCGAAGTTCCACTGCACTTCTTGTGGAGAAGGTACTATCATCATCAATATTAAGAGAAATTTCAATAGTAAAATTTTTAACAAAACTTCAATATTTATTGAGTTTTTCTTTTTATAAGTATCAGAATTTAGACTAACTGTAGTAGATTTCATAATAAAAAATGTTGCTGTTAAAGGTTCTACTGTTTATCAATATTTATTAATATCAAATACAAATGATTTGTTGAATTAGTTTACTGACTGCAGATATAACATAATTGTTTAATTAATTAATAATCAATGCTAAATTATGTCACCATTTGTAGTGCCAAATAATCCTGATCACTAGACAACTTAATAATCAATGTTAACCAATATAACTCAATGTATCGTTAATATTTAGTATCAATAATTAATAAGATTGATAAATAATAATGATAGACATCTAAGAAAAATAAAATCAATTTGATAAATTGTAGACAAATAAAGCTTAGATGTTACAAAGAGATATGAACTTCACTCCAGATCCTTTTTTGAGGCTTATGAATAGGATATGTTATACTTTTTAAATAGATTCATTTTATAATTTGTTTAGTAATAGAGAATTAAACTGCTCAATTTTTAATTATTCAAAATAGTTTTAAATTTTATCATTAATTCAGATGAAATGAACAGATCTTATGTTAAGGATGAATTTTTATGTAAACAAAGTTAATCATTTGAGTATATTTTAAACTATTCATTAAATTATATTCAAAAAAATTACTTACATTTACATGTTGAATATTTAAGGAAAGAAATGTTATATTCTTATATCCTATTTTAAAAATTTCCATAAAATTTGATAATATGAAGCAAGCACTAAAATTGTTTTACCTTATATAAAAAAAAATATCAAAAATATTCAAATTTTATAGCAAAGAATCACTATCTTTTTATTGTTAAAATATTTTTGAATTGTCCCTGTGTGTATTCATTAATATTTTTTTTTTTACATTATTTCATTGTTATATTTGCTATCATCTGAAATTTTGAATTATTAAATTCTATTTAATCAATAATTGTTAATAATTATATATATTTCTTTATATAAACTATTTTAAAAATAAAATATTAACATTTTTATTTGGGCTATAATATGAATTATTCTGTTGTTTTATATACAAGAATAAAGGAGAGTCAACTCAGAAATAAAATAAAACTTTCAAAAGTTTCATCATAAAAAATTATGTTAAATTTAGTCTACCGTTTTTCAGTTTAAACAAAATTTCATTTCTTGTCTGAAAGTTAGTAATACAACAAAAAAAATCATCACAAATTTTAAAAATAAAAATACAAACTACATTCTTCCGATTTCATATACTAAAAGAGCCAAAACAATTTTGTAATATTTTTTTAAGCTTTAAGTAAAAATATAAAAAAATAAATGTATAAAGCATAAATCTCTTCATAAACACAAGCAAATGATCTGTCATTTTCTTATGGAATTATCACCCTCATTTGCAGTATTGTATTTTCATGCAAATTAATATCTTACAAAAACAATTTTAATAATGGCTCCAACTTTTTACAGGTTATTTAAAAAAAAAAAAATAACACTTTTTGTAAAGAAATTTAACCTACAATAAAAAATAAAGCATCTAATACAGCACAGGTTCAGACAGCTGAGCTACAATAACAAAAGAATGTCTCCTTGTACTCCCAAAAACTAGGCAAATCATAGGATAGAAATCAATAGTATCATCAGTGAGAATTAAAAATATCACACAGGAAAATATAAACAAGATAAATTATTATGAAAAGTTAAAATAAATTCTTAAAACGCAATATATTTTTGGAAAAATAAAAATATACAACAATATTACCAAAACATGTATCCTGATATTTGACTGTGTTTTATGTTCTTGTACATACATAAACTAAGTATCTACATATTTAGCTTGACAATGTATTTTGATTTTGTTTCTTATTTTCATATAATTTTTTCGGGGTCATGATTTTGTTTTGCTTTAAGATTTCCAAAAAAGACAATGCCAAAATTTTATTTATATGAAATAAATAAAATTAAGCTGGAAAGATTCAACTGAAATTTTGTGATTAAAATCATTAAATGAACATCTTTAGTATAATACACACAATGCCACTGAAACAAATGAAAACAGATGCTGGAATGGAGTTACTTCCTACTTCTTGCTTTATAAATAGTTTACAACTGTACTTTTAAGAAATATATAATACCAGGATATTTTGATTTGGATATCTGATGGATACTAAAGAACATCATTCATTGTAGCAGAATTTTGATAGAGTTCAGATAACAGAGAATGGCCATACTAAATTATCTCTAATGGAGAAATAGCAAATGTTGGATAAATGATTTAAACCACATTTGGAAACTTGCAGTAACCTACTCCAGAATTTAAATTGACTCATTTCACAAACTTTTCTTTATCAATTTCAAAATTTCTTTTATATCATTCTCTCATTTTAAAGTCTTCACAATGGATTATGTTGTAATATTAATGTTTACACTTACATTCTATGTTTTATAAATTGATAATTTATGGGAAAATTAATTTTTAGTAATATTATTATATCAAAATTTTTCTCTTTGGAAATTTAGATAAAATAGTTTTTTTAAATTATCAAATGAAAATTGGTAGTCTATTGATTTAATTTCAAATTCAAATTTTACATAAAAAAATTTAACAATAAATTATTGTTAAATGCAAATAGTTTCATTTTAAGGAGGCAATTTTGACACAATGGAATAATAAACAAATATTTATTAATTAATATTTGTATCAACAAAGTCTAATAATTTCAACTATCGTATATTTCCACAGATAAGACAACCTTCAGATAAGACGAGGTATAAATTTTCATCAAAGTTTTATAGTTTTAGCATATATTTGTCCTACAAGATGACCCCCAAACTATCAACGGCCTATGAATTTAGTTTAGATCAGCGATCATCATCTGGATAATAATACTGTATAGCATATATGGAATTATGTCCTATTTGTAATTTTTTGAATGAAAAAATTTTTATTTTCTTGCATCTGGCAGCACTGCCTTGTTATCGTTGCAAACATTCGCACTGATTCCACCATTCAGGTAATGACCTTGACTATTCACAAAAATGTTGTATGGGCTATTCTATTTTGTGGACATACTCTACTCTCTACTAGTAAATAATTACGGATTGTTCATTTTTTTACAATGGTTAATTTATATAAATTTTAATCTAATTTTTTTTGTATCTGTCCTGTAAGATGATCCTGGATTTTTGGGGCCTTCTTTTATGATTCAGCTATCATCTTATTTGTGGAAATATATGGTACTCAAAAATGGTTATAAGTTAACACACACACTGCAGAAATAAACAAATACCCAGCATATGACACCATATGTAAAGCTGTTACAAATAACAGGCGACTGGCCACTCTACTTAAGGAGACTGCCAGAAATAATAACTTTTGGTTAGCTTTCAGAAGAAGTTGCTCAGTTTTCACTCTCCTCTGCAACATTAAAGACCATCGTGCTATTTGCCTCCAACTTGGTCTATATACTATCTCCATCATGGATCACTGCAACTTTAGAACATGTGCGTGCTACAAAGCGAGCTTTAAACACCCACCTCAATGAACATCGAACTTCCATCATGAAAGAGCTTGCAAACACTGTATTTGCAATGTTCACCTCTGACTCTGACATAGATGTACATTTTAACCAATCAGGCCTCCTACATAGCACCATCCACAAAGAATGGCATAGATATTAAGAACAATTAGAAATTTAAGAAGCCACAAGAAATAACGCAGCTATTAACTTAAGAAATGTGGACCCCTTCCCTCCTGCATGAAAGTCAATCTACAAAGTTTAGTCTTACAAACCTTCCCTTTCTCTCTCTTTCATGTCACCCATCTTTTAACATGTGGATGGCAATCATCTATTCTGAGTAACTTTTCTGTTCAAACTGTTTGTTTTAACAGCTGCATTCAAATTGCAAAGATCGGTTAGTCTGACAATGCCCATTAAACATGGATGAAAACATTTGCTTTCTTGTAGTCTCTTCTTGCTGGATATTGGTTACTTGTGTAGCATTTATAGTCTAATAATTTGTTAATGAATTTTAAAAAACTTAGCATTTTAATAATATAATTAAATTCTAATTTAAAATTTCATGTTTTACTGAAGCCCCATATATATAGTATTACAAACATTCTTTATTTAATCTTTATCATTCACCTAAAGAATCTTCAAAATATATATATATATATATATTTGACTCTGATGCTTGTTTACAAATGATCAAAGTTAAACTGAATAGGGAAACTGGAAGGTTTAACAAAAGAAAAACATTGAATGTATTAGTTAAAATTCCAAAATGTCAGAAAGGAAACCAGAATGATTTAAAATATGAGCTCAGGTTTTGAAGTTCTGTCGGCATCTCCCAGTCAGAGTTGAGAGATGGTGTCAAATTGAATACTGAAGATTGACTTTTCTTGTGACCCAATCTGATCTTTTTCCACCTGGAAAAAAGGGAGGAGACCAATCAGGAAATGACGAGAAGGAATCGGAACCAATCAGAATAATGTATTTGGTGATAAAATCCTTTAAATACCCCAAATTTCGAGGACAAAGCACAGATTTCTGTCATTGTACCATTTCAAATTGGCCTGTGCACTCCTCCTCTCTCTGTTCTCTGTGCCAACATAATGGCCAAAGTTCCATTGTTCCTGTCTGCACTCTGCTGTCTCCATTGTCCTCCATCTGCAGGACATGCTAGTAACACAGAGCCATCTACACCTTAAGAACTTGCCAGAACCAGTGAAATTCTCTCAAATTTCATTAAAGTGATACACAATGATAAGAAATTGTAGGCTCCATCTTATATCAAAATAAATGGATTTCATTTGTAAAGGTGTTTGTGTCAGTGTGTCCAACACCACCACCCACATATAATCCTACACCCCTCTTACATCTTGATTCGAGTCTAACTTACTCCCCCTTTCCCAATCAACAACCTTACAATATTGATACAAAATTCTTATCTCAATCATGGGTGAATGAAATTTGCTATTTTTATACATAAATAATCTAACTAAACTTGTGAATTTAAATCACCTGAAATTGTTAACATCTTTTAAATTTCATAAGAAATATATATATTGATTGATACTGAATACTTATTCAACAAATAACATATAATAATGCCTTAATCAATTAAAACTGTTAGTTTACATAGATTTCTTCAATTAGAAAAAGAAGAAATTTTAATGTTGTGTTTATTATAATTAATAATAATAGATTTAAATTTCACGTATGATTTAAGTAATTTTAGAATACTGTATATAATTATAAGAGTTTTCATTTATAAATTATAAACACACTATTAATAAGTAAATGAAGCATAAATATATATTATAAAAGAAATTGAAGGGATAGCATGTTATGAATTATGTTATAATGCCAATATTTGAAACAAATTTTTAATATTCAAATTAAAATATCAGTCAAGTAAAATATACATGGAAAAATAAATAGTAAATCTAAGTAGACAAATCCAGATGATAGCAAAAATTTATTTTTACTTAAAAATAATTAACTGTTTCTGAATAAATTTTATATGCATGTCTGCATGCATAATTTACTTTATTTAAAATATTGTCACTATACGTTTTAAGCATAATTTGATGTGTATATAAATAATTAATAAATTATAAATTTATTAATTATTTCAGTGGTGTTTATCAAGATCCATTTTTAGCATATGCAGGAGCAGAGAGATATCAACTTCCTGTAAGTTCTTACAATTTCACTAATAATACCATTAATCTTATTTGATATTAACTTAAAAATAAGTATTTTAAAAACCTTTAATCCGTATTTTGTCATTTAAATTCTATTTTACATTTTTAAATAAAAATAAAGAAAAACTATTGTGTTATTTCCTGTTTTGCATAGACTTAGAATAAATAATCAATTTAAAATTATTAGAAACTAATTCTTATTATTACAATAAAACAATGATAAATAAATAACTTTTGCTCAACTGATCAAACGATATACCATCCAAAAAATTTAGCACATATTCTACAATTAATTAATTTTAAAATAAGATTAAAATAAGTAAATGCAATGTTAATAGATTATTAACTAAACTAAATTTAATATGATTTTCTTTTTATCAAAACTGCAAGAAGATTGTGGAAACTTTTATGAAAATGCAGATCATCTTTTGAATTTAAATATACAGTTTAAAGATATGTGAAACACACACATGGATTGATTCCCATAAATATTTAGATTTTGCAGAAATAAATACAGAAAACTTACTTTTATTCTTTGGATATAATAAAATTCAAATATGTTTGTTTTACTGAGATACTGTACCAGGACACCACATCTGAAAGGACAGACAATCTATCCGCCTACTTTTTTACTTTTAAATATGTACATATTGTATAAAATGTTAAAAATTATAATACAGTATATATATATTCTTTTGTTTGTAATAATAATGTTTTATTTTNTCAAAATTAATTAATTAATGAATAAAAATAAAACTAATAAAACCTGATAAAAATTAGCAATATCAATTATACTGCATAAATTGCTAAAAAAAATAGATAGTTTAGGAGGAAAAACATTGTTTTGCAGATTAAATAAAAATTTTTTGCCAAATCTGTAGTACAACTGGAATCTCTAGTAAGATCTAAACATTACATACATACTGTATATAAATCTATATAGATAGATTAGTAGAAGGAATTTTTATAAATAAATCTCTTATATAAAAAAAGAACAATAAACTTTGAAGAGAAACAATACAGAAGAAGCTCTATGTTTGCAGAACTTATATTATGCAAAACTGCTGTGAATATGGAAATCACAAATACAAAGAAAAGATACATTGAAAAAAGCATATTTGTGCAGAGGCATAGCCTCTAAAGAAAGGTTCTCTCTGCAATAGTAGTAGTTCCTGGTGATTGGACATGGCAAAGCAAAATTGGACTCGTATCCAGATGTATTTTACTTTTTATTAAATTGTAATTCTGCCAGCCCTTTTCTACAAAAAAATTGAAAAATAAGGTTATGGGATTACAAAATAAAAAACGTTTTATATAAAAATTTTCTTAACACATTTGTAATCTGTTTTTCTTTTTTCTTAATGTTCTTTCTTATTTTTATGGAAGATCCATTTACGATAGCATCTATAATTGCTCATGCTTTCAAATTTCTTCTGACAGAAGATATATAATTTTGGTTTGGTTTACTATATGAGTACTATATTTTAATAATGGATCTGACATTGTTTTATTATCAGGCTATAACCTGACTAATTAAATATATAGATATGTAACTTGGACAACAAAAGATTATGATGCCATCTTGTATTAATTTAATTTATTTACAATATTCTGGAAGAAAAGATTGATCCAGAACAGGACTGAAACTCACAAGTCTGCTTACTGTGCAGATGCATTACCAATTACACTATCTGGACTTTAATCTTATCTTCGTTTTAGACCAATTATTACCGTAAGTCACTTACTGCACTGATTCGGGATGACTACATAACCACAGCCGTCCATGGTACTTAGCCAACTTTAAGCCTTTATCTCTATATGGTATATATAATTATAGTATGTAATGTATTGACAAAAAAAGCTATGCACAAAGGTGGCATTGGAATCAATTAAATTTTATTAGTTTGAATGCTATAATATTGTAATTTCTTGTGAAACAATGATACAATTTATAGGAACATTTAGTGCCTTGTAAAGCTTTCTTCTTAACTGAATACAGGCAGTGATATGGTCATATGCTATCCTTCAACAGCTTACATGCAACTGCAACAGATTTACCTATAGCTTCAACATGCAACTATTGCAACTGCTGTTCCAATCCCTCATGCTTATAGATGACTGAAGCTGGCATTCCATCCGGTCCCACAAAGGGATGGACAACAAATCTGGAGACCAAGCAAGGCAAAGCAATATGGGAGTGCAACAGATAATCCTGAGAAACCCTAGCCTGCTGTTTGGCTGAGCATTAACTCACTGGAAACTTATGGCATGCCTGCAACACCCAAAGACAATAAATATATCAGGGTATAGATTTCCAGAACATACAGCCATATATGAATGTCCTTTGTACTATTACTTGGGGTAATAATCATACCAGATGATTCCTCAGAACAGCATATTAGTGTGGAGCAGTGTACCACTCAGGATTGAAGCACTCACCAGCCACTGTCTAACATAATGAACATCCATTTCCAAACAGAACTAAGAATTGTTGCTAAAAACAATACACTACCAGTCCATAGCAGTCCATGCTTCTCTGTTATAGAACCATGTAATCAAAATTAACAATGTGCCCTGCCATTAGCACCCCAACATAGAGATTACTTTGAATGCAAATTTGCTTCTGTTAGTAACCTGCCATGGTACCAAGAAGGACAGGGTTCTGTAACATAACTGCAACAGCAATCTATATTAAAATTAGACAATCATCCCTTTTGGTGATCTATCTGAGATGCTCAGAGCTCATTCCTAATATACAGTATGTATGCCCTCACATATCCATTGCCTCCAACATCTCCTCCCAGTCAAGTAAGAATGATCCAGATGGTAGGCAATTTGGTGAAACAGCCATCCTGCAGCCTTTCTGAGACTCTAGCAGCTATACTTAATGTCTGATTGTATCATACAGGCACACCTGGCATTCAGCGACCTCCCAAATTGTACATTGAAAATTCTAACAAAGAGCCGCTGAAAGCCTTTTTTTTATAAGATACTGGGATAGCAATTTAAAGACACTCTGAAGGCATTATCTAATGTACAACCAGACTACAACAATACTCATTTACGTATCTGTATGAAGCATAGCTATACATAATATACATATACACATAATTTTTTTTATCAATGATTATATTTACTCTCAATAAAACACCACCTAAAGTTTAAATTAAAATATACATAATTAATATAAATAAAATAAACCTTTAACTATCCAGCAATAAAAAATGTTTAATAATTTTTGCAATAAATGTTTAATAATTTTTATTGCTGGATAGTTAAAGGTTTATTTTATTTATATTATTTATTCATTCCAGTATAAGTTCTTGTTTTTAATATACATAATTGTTTAAATCAGTGGTTAACAACTTTTTCTGGATGAGAGCTATAAGTAAACTTCATAGGCTTCCAGCAGAGTGCATGCATTTTATTTATTTATTTATTTTTATTTTTTTATTTTTTGAAGTTTTATGCTTTAAGCCTGCTGAGCACCAACATACTCCATAATTGCCAGTAGATTAGTTACTAAAATAATATATATTAACGATATGCAAACCAGTAATATATAGTTTATTTTGAGCTTTATACTGGTCTACTTTAGAATGAATGTTCTTTGTTATGAATATCAGCTTAATTAAGATTACATAATGGCATGAGGCAGAAAACAAGAAAATAAAATTACTTTTCATTGCCAAAGACCATATTTGCACCTCACCAGCCATGTGTTTTTCATCACCGATTTAAATAAATTATAATTTTTAAAACAGACATTGTTTTAATCCTTTTACTGGTACCAACAAGAATTTTTCATACCTGCTATTTTCAGTAATACTGGCTTTCCCAAGAATTTCTCGTACTTGATAACCTTGGTAAATCCTGTCAGCACTTAACCTGTCACTAGGCTTATACCAAGCCCAAGCCAATATCTACCAGTGAAAAGATTAAATAACACTTTAATACATACTTTACATATATATAATAATTACAATAAAACTTCTCTAACTCAAAGCTCCAAGGGGCAAGAAAAACTTCGCATTACAGATTATTTGAGTTAGAATGAAAAAATGCCTATTCTGAATAGATTTGTATTTTTATCTCTCTTAGTTATATAAAGAATTTTTGATAGAGTTTTTATTTTAACATCCCATGTAAAGCCTTTCAGCAAAATGTTTAATGTAACTAATAGAATCAAACAGTTTTGCAGGTACAATACATCTTGTTGAGATAAGCAACAGGATCTCTCACTTTGAACTGGAACATTGTCTGCAAATGGATGTTGGACAGTAGTTACAACTGTCTGAAAATTTCATAGAAATCTGATTATTCTATCCAAAGTAATCCTAATTACTATCAACTCTGAATTTTAATATTAACATAAATCAGTGTCAGGACCAGAAAACCTTCGACTTGGAGAAAATTCAAGTTAAGGAAATTCAAGTTGGAGACATTAAATCCCTATGCTATTCTGTTGAGACTTACCAAGTGCTTCATTTTGTTTGAGTTAAAGAAATGTTCTAGTTACAGACATTTGAGTTAGAGAAGTTTAACCATATATTCTAGGGATCTGCCAAAAGGTAAAATTTGAGAAATACTAGAGTAATGCACATCTCAGGACATTTCTTAACCCAAAAGCATGCAGTTTTTTGGACTTTCAAAAATTCCTATTAATTTATTGATATGTTTTCCTTACAATTTAAACAAAGATATCTATCTTTATTGGAAAAGTTGACAATAAGTGAGAATTCGTCCCTGTCCTCTGTCTCCTCAGACAGCTTTCTTGAGATAACCTGGCCCAAGACATTCCAGATGTACAGTGCATAAGAAATACACCTCCACACTCAACTTGTTTGATATATACAGTTTATTAACAAAAGAAAACAGTTTATCATAGTACCACACCATACTGATTGACACAATAACAACCAAGGACAAATTAGAATAATCAGGGATGTCCACTCAATAATTTCCATAAGGTAGAGAGGCTCTATCTACACTTTTGTCTGATCTCAGACTTCACTCATGCCTGAGTATCCCTTCTGGAGGAGTGTAGCCTCTCTCCCTATTGTCAGTGGGCTTGTTGAATATCTAAATACTGTCAGTACCAAGCCTTACTCTCCACCACTTTTCTTCAGTCTTCTCCCCCAATTTAAAAGTTTATTGGAGCCAACTTCCAACCAATCAGAAGGACGGTCACATGTGAAGCTTTCCTTTACATTCGTACTGACCTGAATGTGGGTGGTCATCCTCTCCTTTGTTTACTAGTTTAATAGCTGCTGTTCACATATAAATGATTTTATGCCTGGGTCCAATTTAACAAGCTACAAGGTTGCTTTGTCCCAAATTAATATTTTACAAAGAATATTAAAACCAATTAACCATTATAAGATAAGTCAATATTTTAATTTTTACAAGATAGAAATACATTAAAACTCCATAAGATCCATTCTTAAGCTCATAATTATCAACTTAAACAATTTTTTTTTTATTTATACCAACTATAAAAAACTAATTTATTGAAATTTATACAGTTAAAGTAACAAACATACATGTAATGTGAGAAAAAAAAATTTATTTTAAAAATTAAAAGAAATTTAATTTAATAAAAGTTTTAAAACTTAATTAAAAGTTACTTTATGGTAGAAATATAAATAATACACAACCTTCACACACTGTTTTTAAGCTTTTCAGGAATGTATCTAGTGATTTAATTTTAAATTTTACATATATATCAAGACTTTTAATGCAAATGAACCATAAATAAGATGGCATTATTTTAAAATCATTAAAAATTAAACCAGAAAAATTGTTATCAAATTATAATTATTATTATTTTTTTTTATTGACTGTTCTGATAATTAATGTAGACACTTCTTTTAACGACAGTCATGTAATTTTAAAAATTATCTTCGACTAAAAATATTTTTTATATAAAAAATGCAAAAGTAAAAATTTTTAAATTGAAACAAACAAATGAAACAAATCACATCAGAAAATCTCTGGGAATAAATTTTAATAGTAATAATAATATTTTCGATCTAAGTTGACAGGTCTTCCTAAATTCTATTTTAAAATTAATGTTAATTGTTTATTTGAAGAATTATTATAAAATGCAACACTGAGGACAGCATCACAAAACACACCTAAGGAGATCCAGTTGAGCTCATAATATAACATCAATTGGCATATTTAAATTAAAAAATGATGTGTTAGGCAAAATTATAAATTTGAGAGAATTAATAAAATTTTTTCAGAATATTTTAACTCCTTACCTACTCCTCAAACTACCTTTCATGCTCTAAGTTTGAGGAAAGATGTTAACAAACTAGTTTAAAGTGAAAACAAAGTGCAAAAAATGATATATAACTAATTTAAACAGTACCATTTATCATTTTTTAATTTTAATTATGTAACAAAAAAATTACTTTCCTATTAAATTTACTGTCAGTTTATAAATAATTTATTATACCAGAAATTTTTAAAAAGGATAAATTAAATTTATTGTTTTAACATGTTACAATGTAAAACATTGTTTAAAATATTTACTGTTAAAAAGTAAACTTTCCTGCCTGCCTTAAGGGATTTTATAATTTTTTTATTTCTCTGGAAATGGAATTTTTCTTATAACATGCAACTCTGACTGCTTGACTATTGGACATTCAACATTCCTGGATAGTTTTAGGAATGCATTATGTCCAAAATTTGAAGACAAATTATTTTTCTATCAAATGATCTAAGATAACTACTAACATTTTTCTTTAATTATTTCATTAGGATCATTGGGACATTTAACGCTGTAGAATCTTACAATATTTTTAATATAGAAACATCTAATAAATACATAAAAATATAAATGTGACTTTTACAAGGTAAAACCTTGATTTTGTCCTTTTTGCCGTTTGTAAATAACGCCAGCCATGTATTTCTATTGTTTTTACTTAAAATAGAAACATCTCTTTTATATAATTGAGTAATTTATAATATTGAATTAATAAATTTTGTTCTTTTAAACAAGAACTGGAAAATAAGATTAATTTTTATAGTTTTATTTTAACTATATTCATTCTATAACTTAATAATTTATTAAATTTTAAATTAAGGTATCTTTATTAACCATAAAAAAGAAAACAATCAAATTTAATATAAGAGTTTTAAGACTATATATTTTGCCTACATTTGAAAACAATATTGTGTATTGATTAATTTTATTTTGCAAAATCCAACATGAACAAACAATTGTATTTTTCAGGCATCGTACGCTGCCACGGCAGCTTACACGGCTGCTGCCGCTAGAAGTTATGCAGCTGCTGCAGCTGCCGCTCAGCCTGTGGCTTCCTATGCAGCTGTTGCAGGGTAGTGTATTTTTTGTTGAATATATTTAAGTTTTTTTTTAAATATATTATCAGTATTGTTTGGCTCTGTGAATTAAATAATGCACTAGATAAATTCATATAATTATTTTGCATGTTTCATGTTTTATAAAATCTGAAAAGGATATGTGACTTTTTAAATTTAAATTTGGCATGTTTTATATTATAAGATATCTAAAAAGGATTATGATTTTTTAAAATAGGAATGATTATGTGAAATTTTATGATTTAATGAATGTTTTTTAGCATTGTGAAGTACCACTTACTTTTGCATATTTGTTTTTAATATACATTTGTATTAAAACATATTAATATATATAGTTAAGATATATTGTATACTTTGTAAATCTTGTTGTTTGTAATAATTTGTAACTTGTAATAATTTTTATTATATTTTAATGCTGTTATGAATGGAGTTTTAGAGTGGTTGAAAACAATTTGATGCACATATTTATAATAATATTAAAATAACTAAAATTTTTCTTCCAAGAATGGTACATCACTTGCATGGTGTTTGCATGTTGCAGCCTTTAAAATTGCTTTTCTATTGTTTCTTACCCCTAGATCTCCATCATTGTATTACAGTTACGGGCGTGAATACGCAGACCCTTACCTCGGTCACAGCATAGGTCCCGTTACAGGATATGGAGTAAGTATTTTCTTAATTCGGTCAATAAGTTGTTACTGTTATTAGGTCCCATTCCTGGATAAATGCATAAACAAAGACCCAATATTCTTTCCATCTTTAAAGACATGTTATAAAAATACTTGATGCTAATTATAGTAATTAGGAACTTCAAATTGCATTCTTGTAATAATAATAACTTAGATATACAATTCATCATTATGAACATGGAGAAAGAATAATTTCATTTGTTAATTTTTCTAAATTTAAAAAATTTGCAAATAATTATTTTAAAATGAGTTATGATAATTTATAAATAACCTTAACCTATTACAATCTGGCAAAGGTTTCCCAATAAATACAGTATGTATATATATATTGGAACCTGGTTAACTCAGTTGCATTTACTTGAAGTCATTTTCTTCCCTCAATTATCCACCTTAAAGATTTATGTATTAAACCAAACTACATTAACTCAAATTCATTGAACTGTTTAACTTGAATGATATTTTGATACAGTATTTTCATAAACTCTCCAGAATTTTAATTTTCCATTACAGAAAAGAATTAATGTTCATCTACTGAATAAATCAGAAACTTTCTATAAAGCATGGGAACCACATACAACTAAAAATAAACATCATGTCGTGACAACTGGCAGGGGATGGAATATTCCAGACAGCTTGCGTGACCTAGATATTGTAACTATCATTCAAACAAACATTTTTTTTTGTTTTATTTGATTGCTGATGGTTTCCTCTGACTTGCCAACATAATAAATAAATGATTTTGATAAATGAATTTTTAAAAAAATAATTATATTCTGATTCTATGTAAAAATTTTAACCTCTACAGCAAAATTTTAAAAGTATAACAATCATAAAGAGAATGGTTCTTTTGTGATAAAAAAAATAATAAACAGATCAATTCTAGGCTAGAAATATTGTAATTAAAAAATCCTTACTAAACACTTAGGAGTGAACAGATAAACAATTTAGGAAATAATTTTCCAGTAACATAATTACCCATTTAATTAAGCATTTGACAACTGGACAACACCGAGAGATTTACATTGACAATAATTCTAAGTAATAAGACCCATGGAAATATCATATGGATAGTTTATTACAGGTTTTATGAGAAAATTAAAGATAAAGATGAGATTATTAAGGAATTTTTTGGTTATTTTACTTACCTTATGGATTATCCAAGCTATGATGATAGTAGATGGGATTATGTCTCTGCTTGCATAAAACCTGTAAAAGATATAAATGAAAATATAATTAATAATAAAATAAAAGTTTATTACAGATTACCAGTAAACCAAAACACAAAATCTTGATTTTTATCTGAATCTCCGTAACTCAAAACTTTTTAACTCAAAGTACAAATTTTTCCCCCCAACTGAGCTAACCAGATTCCGCTATATTTTTGGAGGAAAAGGTTAACCCAGGCTAGGTAGTACTCTTTCTATGTAAGAGTAATTGGTACATTGATATTATAATTAAATAATATAAACAAATAAAGAAAATAGTCCTTAGGCAAAGAATAAATACTACATTTATATTAAATAAAATGTATATAATACAATTATTTTCATATGCCACAATATACTGACTATAAACTTTAATTCATGTTACATTAATCACAAAATAGAACTAAAATATCTATAAACTGTTTCTCTCAGGTTCTTTCCCTGTTCATAGTAGGGAAAAGAAATACATAATTCTGAAAAAACTTTTTAAATAAATACAAGCATTTTTTAATAAGAGAGATCTCAAGATTTAGACAAATGAACAAAAAGTGCACTGCATGAATGTTTTTTATTGGAATTATGTGTATTTGCTGTTTATCAGAAGGAATTATTTAGGGTCTGGGAACAGATTGTAAGAAGTTGATTCTGAATCATTTTATTTTTGTTTGCAGATAGAATAACAAACTAAAAATAATCTATTTATTTTGGGGCATTTTATTTTGTTTAGGATACACTTTTGCATCTCACCTGGGCAAAATTCTAAAACTAAAACTCATCTTACTACAATGAATGCCAACAGCAACCTAGTTTGTCATTGAACCCAGAAATGACATCTCAGGGGAGACTTCCACAGTAAGTTAAAAGAATGATCTCCCACCCCAAATTGTCACCAAAGAGGCACAAAAAAACATTATAAAAGATTAAATGTAAGGGCAATGACATGACTTAAAGACATGACTTAAAGAAATACTACTAGAATTAAATGAATGTCAGCCACTTAAGTAAGTAAAATAGGGTCGAGTGGGCATAATCATATAACATCACCAACTGTATTATAAGAACGTGAAGCTCAAGATCAAACAAGGTGATGCTAAGGATCAAGCGAGGTTAAAGCAAGGCTTTCAAGTTCCATTGATGACAAAAATTTCTTGGTGATAGTTAGGAAAATTTAATTTGTAAGATTTCTTTGTGGATTTTCGATAGATTTCAATTTCATATTTTATATATTGGTTTTTGGATTTGATAAAATCTTTTTAGTATATTTTGAATTTTTGCTAACTTTATTTCATTTTTGTACATATTTGGGCTTAGAACTATTAGAAGAAGAATAATTATATTAGAAGAATAAATAGATTTTTTTTCTGTTATTATGTATAGTAATTATTTCAAGTTTTTGATTCATTAACAATTTTTTGTTACTTACTGCTCACATGAAGTCCAGACCTGATACTAAACAAACCCTTGTTTATGTAATGCACTGTTAGGAAACTATCTGGGGCTCTCAATAGAAATAAATAAGATGCTACAAGATTAATTCACTTTCCATCATTTCTAATGGGAAAAATTGATTCAGAGTTTGAACAGCCTCCTGGAATGAATTAAATTCAAAGTGTGAGGTACCACTGTAATATCAATATGCATTAAAGCATAGATTGTCTTACAGAAAAAACCCAGGAGAACAGAAACATGGAGAAATAAAAGTGAATTAAGTGTTGTTTTTGCAAATGAATAATTTGTGGCATGCAAACAATTTTTAAAAATTTTTAAAGACGCTCTTGGTGAGTTTAGATAAACAAAAAGTTGTTGGCTAAGTTGGTAACTGCATGTTAAAATTGGCAGATATAACCCACAAGTTATATACACAAAATTATGGTATTTTGGATGATAATAATAATATGCAAAAAACATTTAATCTATATATACACTTCAATCTGTTGTATATAAATCAGTTATAAACAATGTAAGGTAATCTTTATCAAAATGGATGATCTATTAAAATTTAAACTCATTGCACAATGCAAATAGATATAGATAAAAGGTAATATCATATGAGATTATCAAAACAGATAGACTGTATAATAGTAATTTCTGATTACAAAAATTGTTCTTTGACAAATTATCCTCTAACCTGCTTTCTGGGTGTCCATAATAAATTTTGAAAAAGTTTCACTGAAATTTACTTTTCTGCATTCTTAACATATACTCAAAATTGTGTGTTGTCATAATAAACAATTGTGTTCGGTAATGTCAAGATGTGCCCACATTACATGACACTTATCATGTAATGCATGCCATGAAATTTTAGCATCTTCAGTTGGGATGGTTGTGATCCATGGGATGGTATATTTGTGTTAATTTGTCTAATACTTCTAGCCCTTCTATATTATATTGAATGTTCATATATTATTCTATTTAATGTAACTTTAACAAGCAAATATTTATTGTGACATCATCACAATTCCAGACTGCAATTTTTAATCATATTTTTAATTTATTTAATTTATGCTCTCTACCTCAAATTAGTAATGTCTTGCCCCCGTACATCATACTTTTCCTTTAATGACAGAGTCATGTCAGTCATCTATCTAACACCTTACAGCAGAAAAAGTTTGAATTGAAATAACATGACTTCCGATTTGCATTGGAAGTTTGTATATAGTTAATTGGGGCCTCATGCCTCTAAGGTTTCCATACCTGATTTCATCTTTCATCTATCTAACTCCATTCTCAAGATTAAGGAAAGACAGACAGATGACGATGGAAATTTATGTCTACAGTTTTTTCAAATTGCAGCCCAATAAACTTTTTTTGCTTATAACTACTATATGTATGTACTAACCAATTTCACTTATGATAATCAAAATCTATTATACAGTATATATGAAAAAAATTTTTTATTGTATTTTATAACATTTATAATTTTAAAGCATTTAGTATTAATGTAAAAAAAACACATTTTAACAAAGTGAACCTACATATTTTTATGAATAAGTTTGTATTTTTCAAAAATTCAAAGTATACATATTTGATGAATATATAAAATAATTTCAAAATAATTACACATGATTAGATTTAAATTCTGCATGTCTGTATGCTAGGTTGTTGAAGCATGTTGTCAGATCAATTTTAGTGCCACAATATCACTGCTTATATTTTATAGATTATGCTCAGTACAGCTGCTGCCATTTGCCATTCTATAACGTTACTGTCCATGAGAATGATCAAGGTTTTTTCTTGATCTCATAATCACTGCTGTACACCTTCGAAAATGTAAAACATTATTCATTGTTTCAGAAATGCAAGAGTAAATAAATTTTATGCATTGCAACAAAGTGTTATTAATGTCCTTATTTACTTAACAGATTCTTCTCTTTTTCTGTATTTTGTAAAATGTAATTATAAAGATATTTATCAGTATTTATGCAATCTTTGATATAGATAGTAATAGAATGAATATAAACAATTATTTTTTGTATGATTGTCTTTACTCATTTCATTTTTCGAATAATTAATAATTATTCCTTTTTACATTTCAGCAATTTAATTAAACAAAAATTTAATATTAAGTAATGATTAATTTGGAATTTTTCAGGCAGCTGTATACAGAAGTGGCTATAATAGATTTACCCCCTATTAGATGACATTGCCATTGCGTGCAATCGGTCCTCTTAAGAGATATCATGCATCGAATAAATTATCCGAACTCGTATCTGTAACATCATTGTCATTGGAGGAGCGGAAATTGAAATTGCACAATACAGCAAATACGAAGAGTGCTTGCTGCCTTTGGGAATACTCGCACAGTTTTTTACTATTTATTCTTGGCTCAAAGTTTTAATTAACTGCCTACCAATGAGGTTATTATTGAGATTGTATACATCCATGCCAAAGTATATTTCTAATTAACGAAACGTTATTCATTGGAGATCGACGACTGCAGTCGGATCTAGTCATAAAATTAAGAAGTATGAATCGCATTTTCATACTGTGTATTATGTTAATTAAGCAGTTATTATGAAGTCTGTAAAACTGTATATAACTTGCCAAAAAATAATTCTGCATCAAAATTAATTGTGTGTAAAGCCAATTTGTTTGTTACTACTTTTATACAACTTTTTAAAGGAGTCTTTTTTAAGTTATTGTTGCTTGATACTGTAGTGTTAATCTAATTAAGATTTTAGAAAGAAAAAGAATGTGATGTATCCTGCAAAGTTGATATTTTTAAAAAGAACTTCTGCAGATCCATAATTAACTTTATATAATGGGGATTTCTTGTCTTCCCATTTTATGTAACATCCCGTTACAGAAAAATGTTTAATCTTTGGTTGTGATATATTGTCGGTTTTAATCCCTAAATACAAGCATAATTATTATTATTATAGAAACATCTGTTGATTATATTGCTGTAAAATTAAGTGTTAGGCATTTTAAAAAAGCAAAATGAGTTATAAATATGTCCTCAAAAGTTAAACATCGTATTTTATTAGTCATACTCTTTTCAAATTCATTGTCTCCAGGTTAATGGAATTTACATTATATAAAGTTTATATTATAATATACCTATTATTAGTGTTAGATATTCTATTTTTCATACAGCATTAGACATTAATTTTATAAATTTCTTTCTTTATTTTATTTGAGTTGGCGGTCTTGTCGCAGCTGATTTTCTCTCGACCGTACCAATTTATTGCCGAGTCGACCATTTGTTATGTAAAGAAAAAATTTCCGGCGATCAATGGTATCAAGAATTCTAGTCATTGAAAGGTAGCTCATGTATAGTTATACATCAGAAGTGGTATGCACTAAATTATATCTGGAAAGTTGGTGTGATAAACATCACTTCTGAAGTCCATATCATATATTTATGTACATTAAATCTGTAAGAATGTAGGTAATTCTTAGAAACTGTGCTAAATCTGAAAATGGTATTAAATCTATGTATTTTACAACCACAGTATACATCATCACATAATCTTCACTATCTACATATCAGTTCACTCTTGGTCATACTTTTATTACAAGAACGAAAAATAAACAAATCATAAAATGTAAAATAGTACAAATAATAATTAAATTTAGAATGAAACATCAAAAATGTATTATTAAAGACAGCAGTGTCTATATTTTCCTGTTACCATGGTAAAAAGATCTGTACAATTTAGCATACAGGGTTTCAGATCAAGCCAAAGATCATATATCAAGTATATCCACACAATATATAGATATAATTAAATAAATTTTATGTATTGTATTTATATGATGATAAATTACATTAGAAAAAAAATACATAAAGCTCATCCACAACTCATTCTTTCTATTTATGTTTTAGAATTGAATCTACCTCTTTGCTAGTTATATGTGTATACATAATAAACTGTAGAATATAAGTAAACTATGTTTAGAGTAGATGATCGTCGCTACATCTCAATACTTTGTCGAAAGTGTAAAGTTCTATATTTATAAGTCATTAATGTTAAAATCATTTAATGATGTTTTTTGCTAGTATTTATTCTGTAAAAAAAAAAATAGCTTTATTGTTGGACTAGATATTGAATTGGTTAAGAATCTCATTTGTATTTGTTAAATTGCAATGTGCTGTATTGCATTTAAAATGTGTGAGAAGAATAAATATCAGTGGTAAATGGTTGCTGCAGTCATCTATATGATTATTTTAAGCTAATATCAGGAACATATCAATAACATTTCAACAATAAAATATGCACTATTAAGCCTTTCCCTAATATAAATCATAAATATTATTACATCAAAATTTAAAAAATCTTACTAAATGATATTCTATATTATAATTAAAAAAAAAGTGTTTTAAAAAAATATAAATATTAATACATATCTTAAAATACTGTATTTCTTTGATTAAATGCTTGGGGATTTATTTTTAAAACTTAATATTTCCTTGGTTTTTTTGAGATGGGCCTTTATTACCTTGCAAGAGAAGATAAGTAAAAATTGAAAGAAATACCTTAATTACTATGTTTTCCCCAAACTATCAAAACCATTTATTGACGGTATTTAAGGGTTACAGCTACAATATTTGAAATAATTATTGTTTTTATATTTACCCAATTCAGCTATGATGTTGTCATTCATGTCTGCTTTGATATCACTGTAGAAATCAAGGTCTTGACTATTATATTTCTGTGTATATACTGTCTGCAAATAAAACAATAAAAAAAATATATAATTTTCTTATTTCCAATACAACATTTCTATATTACAAATGCTAATAAAGTTATAAATTTTTTAAAATTATAAATAAAGTTATAAATTGCACACAGACTTTGTGGACACCCTGTATCTTTATTTTCACCAAGTGAAGATAAAAATATTTTGTTTTGACTTTTGACTAAGATCTCCTCTTTCTGCTAATCAGAAACTACACCAGTATAATAAGTCCTAAATAAACAAGATCGAAGTAGACAGTGTGAGGCTCTGGACAGATCTGAACCCTCACTGAAATTCACATTAAAATAGTATTTTAAAGTAAAAAAATAGAAACCAGAAATATTTTTTGTATGAAAACACGATGCAAACTATTAAACAATAGAAGAATGTACGTTCTGATATCAACATCTCCGGTTGGTGGGGGGGTCAATTTTGACTTCTCACATGATCTAAGCTGATATCTCAATACACTTCATAACAAGTGATACATCTCTTAGAAAGTGAGAATGAAGAAAAGCGATCAATCAAAATGGGCAATCGAGGATAGAAATGAATAAAAACCCAGGAATTTAAGGACGTGATGGCTTCTTCTCCTCAAAGTTCTGAGTGTCAGACCAATTGTATGTGTATCTTATGACCATCTTCATCTCTGTCTCCCATCATTGGATTGGCATCTTTCCATCATCAGAAGTTGATCACATCGTCCCCGACGTCGAGGGAACTGTCATTTGCTAACAAGGGACACTCTTTCATTTGGGACTATCTTGGAAAGGAGAGGAAGACTCAGAGGCTGCCACTGTCTTATAAGCTCCTTTCATATCAAATAAATGGTTTCTTATAACTATAGAGTCTGTCTCAGTGACCATTGCACCCACATACCCTCTTAGCAACCTCTCAACATATCCACCCCCGTCAGCAATGTTACAACAGTATATACACAGAAATGTAAAACAGAAGGACACAGAGGTAAAAAGAATTAATCTCAACTACTACCTTCTGGTTCAAACTATTAGAGTTTTAAATAAGAGTTTTCTTAATTACCCTTTAGCCAATAAGCTCTTGACTTATGAACTCAATTGTAACTTTCCCAGACTCAATATTTGACAGTATTTATAATTTTATTTCAAGAAAGATTTCTGTGATCCTTGGAATAGAAAATGCCATTTGGCCTAGACAATCTGAAGAGAGAGAATTCTAACTTCTTAACGGTCAATCAATACTACATTACCATATACAGTACAGTACTTCAACATGTTTCCCATGCTTGCTCAGTTCAGGGTTTATTTTTAACACCTTTATTCCCCAGGGACTAATCAAGTAAATATGGTATATTGAAATATCTCAAAAATATTTTTGGATAAAATTGTCTCACTGTTTAGGGGCCGTCCATAAATTACGTAAGGGCGATTATATAAAGTTTATATTATAATATACCTATTATTAGTGTTAGATATTCTATTTTTCATACAGCATTAGACATTAATTTTATAAATTTCTTTCTTTATTTTATTTGAGTTGGCGGTCTTGTCGCAGCTGATTTTCTCTCGACTGTACCAATTTATTGCCGAGTCAACCATTTGTTATGTAAAGAAAAAATTTCCGGCGATCAATGGTATCAAGAATTCTAGTCATTGAAAGGTAGCTCATGTATAGTTATACATCAGAAGTGGTATGCACTAAATTATATCTGGAAAGTTGGTGTGATAAACATCACTTCTGAAGTCCATATCATATATTTATGTACATTAAATCTGTAAGAATGTAGGTAATTCTTAGAAACTGTGCTAAATCTGAAAATGGTATTAAATCTATGTATTTTACAACCACAGTATACATCATCACATAATCTTCACTATCTACATATCAGTTCACTCTTGGTCATACTTTTATTACAAGAACGAAAAATAAACAAATCATAAAATGTAAAATAGTACAAATAATAATTAAATTTAGAATGAAACATCAAAAATGTATTATTAAAGACAGCAGTGTCTATATTTTCCTGTTACCATGGTAAAAAGATCTGTACAATTTAGCATACAGGGTTTCAGATCAAGCCAAAGATCATATATCAAGTATATCCACACAATATATAGATANTCGGCAATGTTACAACAGTATATACACAGAAATGTAAAACAGAAGGACACAGAGGTAAAAAGAATTAATCTCAACTACTACCTTCTGGTTCAAACTATTAGAGTTTTAAATAAGAGTTTTCTTAATTACCCTTCAGCCAATAAGCTCTTGACTTATGAACTCAATTGTAACTTTCCCAGACTCAATATTTGACAGTATTTATAATTTTATTTCAAGAAAGATTTCTGTGATCCTTGGAATAGAAAATGCCATTTGGCCTAGACAATCTGAAGAGAGAGAATTCTAACTTCTTAACGGTCAATCAATACTACATTACCATATACAGTACAGTACTTCAACATGTTTCCCATGCTTGCTCAGTTCAGGGTTTATTTTTAACACCTTTATTCCCCAGGGACTAATCAAGTAAATATGGTATATTGAAATATCTCAAAAATATTTTTGGATAAAATTGTCTCACTGTTTATGAAAGGACTCATCGCTAAGAACATTTATTTTGACACCTTGAAAACTATTAATATTTACTTGTTCTTGAATCACTTAGTCAACAGTAATTTTAAAAACTTTAAATGTATAAAACAAAAAAGTAATAATACTTCACACAATTTCCTAGTTATATTTCAGAAATCCTAATTATTGGAATAAACACCTCAATAAAATTTGTAAGTTCAATGTTTTGAATTATTCTAAGTTAGTTACTAACTTGAACAAGTTTTAAATTGCCAACAATCTACTGCAAACTGATGATGCTAAAAGAATTTTGCTTCAAATAAGCATATGAACATTGTAAATAAAATTCTCTTTATTATTTTATATATTGAAAAATTTGCTGATTCAGAATTAGCTGTAAAGCAGTGTTATCTAAATTAGAACCCATAGACTTGTTTCAAAGGATTCATGAAATGTTCAGATATATGCATATAATTCCCTAAAAATATACTGATAGAGTTTTATAGCAAATCTTATTATGATTCTTATTTTTAATGTGATTAGCATGTATACAAGACATTTCCCTTTCAGTATATTTGACCTATTTATATACATATTAGATAGATATACAGTATATTAATATATAAAATGTATGTAAAAGTCTACAAACAATCTTTTTATTTTTGAAAGGAGTGAATCAATCTCATGCAAATATATTTTTCCTAATATTTAAAGAACTGTTACATGTTCTTTTTGTCTAAAGATGTAAATATTTTCAATGAAATTACAACTGTATAGTTTTAATTTATGTATTTTTTTGTGTGTGTGTTGTGCTTCAAATTATTTTGGAAAATTACCACCAAAAAGATGGTTAATCTTTAATAAAACTGCTTTACTGAAATTTAACAATTAAAGAACTGTGTGAGATTCGAATAGTCCCTGGGTCTAATTAACAATTTAAATATAAAGTTAAAAGTTTAAAGTAAAATATTCTTTCATTTTGGGTGTGAAAATATCATTTTCTAACGTGGGAAAACTGATAAAAGAGCCACTTCCTTTAACGGAAGTAGACACATCCTTTTGTTTTCCATTTATCTATCACAAATCTCACCACCCTGGGAATTATCAACCCCTCAATAATTCCCTTTCCCTCTGGTCACATGAGAAAATACAAATATGCTGATTGGTCACAAATCATGAGATATAGTCAAAGATCTCCATGATTCGGGAGAGTACGTCAGAAGATCTCATAGAGGAGAGACGTAGTCCATACAGTTTCCCTAAGGCCAACACCCTTAGTCGTATCCAATTGAGTATAAAAATGAGTTAATTTAGGAGAAAAGAAGAATCAATTTAATAATGTGACAAATCAAGACCTCTCCATGAAATGAGGTATGATCATAAAATACAGATGAAGATAAAGACAAAGTACCCCTTGAGGTAGTATGATTATCAATGAATTTGTGAGCTCTCTCTCTTGACACGTATATTTTAATGGAATCCATATTCTCTTTCCATCGGTAATATTTGATCATTTAACATTTCAATTTTGTGTAAATTTGGTTACTTTTGTCTTATTAAATTCTATTATTATTTGTTAGAAAAATGTCTCTTATTCAATATCTGAATCAAATCCATATTATCTCCATACGCGTGTTAATCCGCGTAACGGTAAATTGATTAACTGGTGTCGGGATCCTGACTACAGAACGAAGGATTGTGAAATTCTTTAGTCTCGCTTTAAATTTAACGTTCAGACTGTAAGTCCCTCCGCCCTCGATTTTCCTTAAATTAGGAAAAGCCATTCTTGTAGATGACCCGAGAACTAGTTTCACCAACTAGCCGCCGAATAAGAGGAAAGGTATCCCCGGTTAATCTCACAACTGATTTCCATGAAAAACGAACTCAAAAATGTGGAATAAATTAGAAACAAAA